TTTTTTTTGGGGGGGGGTGGAAAACCCCCAGGGTTTTCCGTTTTTTTTTCCCCACCCCCCCCCCGAAGTTTTTTTTGAAAATTTTCGGGGCTTTGGGGGGGGCCCGGGGTCCCCGGGGGGGGGGGTTACCCCGGGGGGGGGTTTTAAAAAATGGCCGGGGGGGGTTTTTTTTTAAAACCTTAATGGGTTTTCCCCCCCCCCCCGGTTTTCCTCCCGGGTTTTTAGGGGAGGGGGGTAAAAGGTTTGGGGGTTTCGGGCATGCACGACTATGAGTACACCCCCCCCCCCCCCTCAGTTGATGGTGACCAGTTTTTGGTTCAAACGTAGCCGGGACCGGGGAAAACCCGGCGTATCGCTCCGCCCCGGCATTGTAGGGATGCAAGATGAGTGGTGTAACAACAAGTACGGCGTGCTTTTACATGAGTACGCCCCCCCCCCCCCCTCAGTGCTGCTGGATTTATTCTTGCACGTCTACATAGCGGGCAACGAAACTAGATAGAGAGGTTGTTGTGGTTTCCGGCGCCATGAAGAACTGCATTATGTGGAAGCGAGCATGGGGAGAAAGGACGGCCGGTAGGTAGCAACACCGCTGCTACTGTGCCGTCCGAAGGAGGAGGAAATACGAAAAATACAGGCAACATTAAGAGAGGCATCGAATTTTTGTATTTATTTTTGGGGGGGGACGATTTGGAAGAGAAGTCGTCGCGAACTGCCTAAACCAACGTTTCTGGCTACGAATTTTATCTCCAACCGAGAAAAGAGGCAGCAGTTTACGAGCTCTCGGTGAGATGGATGATGCGCGACTAGCATCCCGCAGCTACAAATAGGTTTTGTCTTATCCCCAAACAAGCCCACCGAAACAAACTCGACAGAAACAGGTTTGTGATGTTTGATCTGTGTTGCGTGCTTGTATTTTCAGTCTTGTCGACGGCAACCAACGCTTGGACCGACCAACCGACAGACACACCAACGGCTTGTGGTGACGAAGAAGCTTAAGATTTCGCGCCGCCGGTGCCTTCCAAATTTACCTTGTACCACAACTGCCTTTTTTTGTTTGTTCGTTCGTGCGTTCGTTTGTGCGTTGTGGTTTATTCCGTTCCAGGCTATCCTTGTACCAGAACTGTCGTTTATGTTGGTTCATTTGTTCGTTCGTGCGTGTGTTTGTGCTTTTGCGTCTTTTTTTCGTTCTGCTTGTAGGAGGAACAGCGGCGCATGCGGGCGGCGGAAGCTCGGGGTTACGTCTCGAGACTCAGGGAGCTGCAGGCGCTAATGAAGGCCAGGGTGGAGAGAGAGATCGAGGGCGCCAAAGCCAGAAAATCTCTCAAGCGGTACGCATGTTTGATGCGTGTTTCGCGGGCATTCTTCTTCTGCTGAGAGGGGCGGTATGTTGTAGCGGGGGGGGGGTTTTTTTTAAAAAAAAAAAGGGGTTCAACACAGGGGCGTTTTGCCGGCTTTTGGGGACAGCGAAAAAGACACCCAGCCTCTTGTGTGGGTTTTTTGGGAACGGGGGGGTTCTTGGGGTGTTCTCCAAAACAATTTTCCCCGTCTGTCTTTTCAACAGGACACCTCGATTTTTTAAACTCGGAAAAAACCCACTGGGTAGTGGAGGGCGGCCCCTTTTTCTAGAGTGGAGCGGGAAGGGTCCCTTATCCTGGGGGTAGAAAGCCCTTCTTTTTCTAGTAAGACGCTGGTGAGGCCAAAAAAGCCCGGTTCCATTCGAAACAATCTTCCCCGTAAGCGGCCGGGTTTTTTTTTTTCTTTTTCCAAACTTTTTTCCCAAAAAAAAAAAAAACGC